ACACAGTGGGGAAATACACAGTGGATCTGGTTCTGATCTGTTTAAGGTTATTTAGTATCTTGTGGAGAAATCCAAAGCTTGACAGACCTCACATGCCTAGTCAAGGGTCTGACTGAACACGGTTCAGGGGAGGAGTTTAGCGAAGGGTCAATAAGACATCCCTCCTGGATTTATGACTCTTCCTGATTAAAAGTTTCCCCTGTCAGATGTAATTCAGTAACCTTCCCACAGAGGCACCTTCAAATAGTCAACTTGTCAAAATGGCTGAACAGATCAAGCATGTGACTCAAACACGCTGATGAAGGGAACACTTGTTTTCTCTCTCATTTATCCGCCAGTGATCAGAGTGCTTATGTGTGGAGACATTTTCTAAATGTCAAACTCGTTGAGAGCCATGACGGACGTCTGCTTTCACCAAGAACAGTCGAGGCTGACACCTTCATTTGACATTTAGCACCCTCTTCTTCTCTTTCTGCCTCTTCGTTTTCAAATGATATGTGAAGGGATTACTGTATATGCATGCATGTATGGTCCTGGTAGTTGTACAGAAAGAGGGATATTGGTAGATTTGACGTGTCTGTCTTTTATCTTATGTGTGCTATTTGAGAGGAAGAACCTAAGAGAAATCCATGTGAAATCTATTCTGAAATGCAATTCTGGGAACAGATAATAGGCTTTCGAAAGAGGTGATGAAGAAATACAGGGAAAAACCTTTTTGCTCTAGTAGATGGACACCTTCTGAATGCTGTAGGCCCTCTTATAAAAGACGGTGACTTATAGAAAAAGTGTAAGAAGTAAAGTGTAATATCGTTTCTTCTTTTCTCGAGGCTTTTTGACTACCACGGCAGAGTGGCCCCCCCACCCAGAGCCGTGATCCCCCTCAAGCGCTCCAGGGTGCTCGCTCCCTCCTCCCGCCGTGGGAAGACCTCCTTCCCCATCAAAACATCCTCCTCTTCCTCCTCCTCATCCTCCAGACCTCCCACATCATCCTCCTCCTCCGGGCTCAAACGTACGTACAATAAGGTGCTTTTTACTTGTCTTGTTTACACTGTACGAGTCAGATTTGACATTATTTAATTTTTAGTTTTCAAAAGAACACTGGTTAATTACGCTAATGGCATTCTGTCCTTTTAAAAAAAAAAAAAAAAAAAATGCAAATCTCAAAAAAAAACGCTGCTCAGAGAAAGCGGCGGCGTGATTCAGCTCCGCTACTTATGCCGTGCCACTATAAAAAGCTATTTAATTCACTCCAGCAGCTCAGAACAAGCCACACTGCAATGTAGAGCAAAACACAAAATCGCAAACACAAATATAATCCGAGCTTTGCGAGCAGCACCCATTCAGCATACAGCGCTATTGCTGTCATCTAGGATCCGTCTGGATGTCATTTGGTCCTCTGATTAACTGGTGATGCATTATAACATCCTGAATGTAATTAATGTGAGATTGGGGCCATCTCTGTGGAGCTGTGGTCAGCTGTGTTTTCCTAAACGCAAGTCTCTATCCGTAGCCTGTGTAATTGGCTACAATGTTTGTTTCATTGTTGCCTGTCTAGGCCAGTGTTATCAGCGCGAGCAGCTTGGTAAGGTCTGTCAGGAGGACCCAGTTGCAGTTGGTATTATAGAGAAGGGGGGAAAAAAAGCCCATCTCCCATCCTCTTTTTGGACAGAGTCAATGAATTCTCTCCTCTGTCTAAGCAGTGCTGCTGTATGTTTGGGAGACTAATTTGCCCCTGCCAGTACTGTGAAAAATCACTGTTTCTATTGACTTTGGCCTAGATAGATTGTACAGCAAAATAAGGTTAGCTTGTCCAAACAACGAGGTGGGTTAGTGTGGGCAGTTTGAACCACTTGGGCTGTACGAGCAATAATTCACTTGGGGGGAAAATAAAGGAAACCACATGGAACCTGAAGATGGATAGTTTTTGTGTTTTCCACATTAAACCTGGTTTGACATACAGTGTCAGTTTATGAAGAAAGGGATTTGGCCTTTTTACCAGTTTTGTCAATTAAGGATAGACGGGGGAAGTTGTACTACTTATTTTTAAGTAGTCATAGGCCCTTTTGTTATATACAGTTTTTTAAGTACGAGTAGTTTTCATGATGTGTCTTCACTCTTTGCTCCTAATGTTTCCTTTTCTTCTCTTACTCAGCTGTCAAAATATCTAGAAAGTGAAAAATAAAATGATTAACCTTTTTTTTCTTGTTACCTTGTTAAACAAATTACCAATATGTTCCCTTTTGAAAGCTAACATAACTTTTTGAAGTTCACTTTCAAAAAAGCAAGAATAGGTCTTGAAAGTAATAACAATGGTTGAAATATCAGGTTTTCTTCCATCATGTCTTAAAACTCTGACTCATAAATCCCTCCAGTCTAGTAACCTTAACAACTATTAAGAGTCATCACCAGCCCCAAAAGTCTTTGTCCAGTTTAATCTTCATAGACCAGTGATTCAAGAGATCCTCACTATCCCCAAGAGAATATCTCTGCGGTTCATCATGGTCCTAAAATTAGATCCATTACTCATTCCCTAAATCTTTCCTAATGCTTATTAAATAACAATGACTTTTTTCCCCTCCCTTTTCCTATAACCCGAGCTATTAAAAGATGCTGCGTTGATGAAAACGATGTTGGATTAGGATGTGTATGTTTTCTCTCTCCGGCTTATGTGACTGATGGCACAAAAGGAAAAAGGGCCTGGAGGCGCCGATAAATTAGAAACTGTTCCACCCTTTCTTATCATCAAAGCTGCCCAGAGCGAGCTCAGATAATGCTAGAATAAGGAAGCGAGTGTATATGTGTGTGCATTCATGTACGAATGGAAGCAGGTGATACTGAGAAGGAGATAGACACTTCAGTGTGTTCCACCATCGAGATATCATCATTGTATATTCCCTGTTTTCTCTCCTTTTTTGCCCCCCAGAAAGGTCGATTTTCTGCTTCTATGGAGCTTAAGGGTTGTTGATGCCTGCTTTACAAAACAACATGAGACTCATTCTTGTGAATTCCATGCACATTCTACGCGTGTTTTGCCTGGAGTGCGGCATTATATACCCCTTTTCTCTCTTTCTCAGGCACACATTAATCTTCCTGCTCCGTTTTTGAAGATGCATTGACAAATACCGTACAGTATGCATTGAATCTCACCAGGGCTGCATGCGTTGTTTATCAGCATGAATTGTATTGAAAGATTAAAATGTCCTTTTTAGGGGAATCCAGCTCAGAGAGAGCTAATGTATGAGATTGTTTTTATCATGTGCTGACATCTTCTCTAACCATTTGTTTTATGCATGTCTTTATGCTCATACATACATAATAGCACAGAGACATATGAGGGTCTCTGCATTGTGATGTGGTGAGGGTGTAAATATACATCAAATATAATAACTTAAAGAGCCGCGTGCAGACATGATACCAGACAAGAAATGTTTTGATTCTGTGCGTGTCTCCTGCCTCTGATTTTCCTGCTGAAGCTTTACAGGAACTCGTGGGTTTGTTTACCGAGCACTCATCCATCCTCTTTGCAGCCCTGACAGAATCTGATAGGTGTCAAAGAGAATTTTATGTTTTCTCCTCAACTTCTGGTGTCTGCTTTTCCTTCCTCTCAAAAGATGACACATTTCAGCTGCTGAGGGTTAAGGAATGCGATTATCTTATTACTTTATGGTTTAAATTCTTTAATCTGCTCAGTTCAAGCTGTTAAGAAGTACACCCTCATTTTAGCAAACCATGAGACAGGCCAGATTGAATTAATGGTGACGTCCTTCAGTTGAATATATATTTATTTTATTTTCAACATTGGTTATTTGCACATGATATATCAAGGTTAAGACTCAAACTTAGACATGATATGGTTACGCTTCATTTACTCAAAAGCTCAGATATGTATTGTAAGACCCAAAGCAAAGCAGCAAGGGGGGAGTAATTATTCATAAGGCAGTAAACAGAAGCTGTGGGAGGGCAAATTGTGCCCCCTGTTTCTCATGCAGTACAGTTAGTGAGGCAATAATCAGGCAAAGTTGCAGTGGGTGTATGAAGTGTAGAAACACAATGATATACTTTCTTAATCCAGTTTAGTGGATGGACTGGATTAACAGACAAAAGTACTGTTTTGCATTATATTAAAATACATGCCACTTGTTATTCACATTTCGGCTGCAAAATAACCTTTTAGCAAGGTTTGTTCAAATAAAATCTATGTGGATATTTCAAGTAGTGAATGAGCTGCTTTTCCTCTGCGATTCAATCGTTTGTTCATTTGACTGAACTCCGTGTGCTACATTTGAATTTTTTGTTTGGATTTCAGTTGCATTCTCAGTGGTGAGATCATTTGGTAGTGCTTTATTTCATGGGTCCCATCATTTTATCATAATTTCTTGGAAAGAACTATATAATTTGGTACTTCAGAGACCATCTTCGGATAAAGAAGTTATTAGTGTTGAGTTTATAAGCAGCTGTCTAAAATCTTTTTTTTTTATATATAAACCTAAGTCAATATTCATTTATATTTGGAACAATATTGTTTGCTTGACCGTATAATTTCCTTTTTTTGTATCTTCAGCACCTGCTGTGCACTGAATAAAATACTCTAGATTATTACTTATTGAACACTGTCTCCATTTACCCTGTAATTAGTTACAAATTGCATAGTCCTTTCCTTTTACAGCTTAAATTCTTCAAAAACAATGACAGATTCAAAAAGTGCATTGGCAATCATGCAAAGAATTACTGGTAATTGTGTTAGATATTAGAATAATGAAAAGCCTTTAAAAAGTGTTTAAAGTTAGGAAGATTTCAGTCCTGGTTGATTTGAACTATGATTACTGGTTATTGGTCATTCCTTAAGCAGCTACTTTATCAGAATTACATAGAGCAGTAAGATACAAATTTTCTGCAATGGCTTTAAAATAAACCTGTGCTTTTAATGTGAAGCAGCAACAGAAGAAATCTGTTTGCATTAACAGTAACTTAATAGCTCTAATATGGCTGTAAGGGAGTAAACAGTAAAGCGTGAGGCTGATATCAATAAGAATAAAACAATAACAATAATAGCTGGATTGAATACTGCATAATGTCCTGTGAATTCCTTGTGCATTTGAAGACAATTTGCATCCAGCATGGGAATGGCAAACTCCGCCACTGTCAATTAAAGCTATTATATAGAGAGTTAATAAAGGACGGTTGAATGTCTATTTCTGAAAGAATAGAGACTAAAAGTACTTATCACTTCCAGGATTTAATTTCATGAAAACGTAAAAACATAAAATGCAAGGCTTTTCCACATTTTATATGCACCCAGCTGAGCAGATACTATCCTAAAGTGTAAACAATCTCCATGCATCATATAATCATCTAATGCCAACTGAAAGATAGCATACAGTTTGTTCAGATATTGGCATTATTGAGCAAAACTTGAGCAGCACTGCACAGCATGGTGGGCGTAAGCTGTGCACTAATCTTCAAATTGAAAGCAGCAGGTCCACAGTTTCAGCTGGGTAACTTTGCAGTTGGCCAGATTGAGATGTTCTTCCCTGAGGAAAGTGTGACTCAGAGTGATGATATGATATCCAAAACTTAAAGACTAAGAGTATTAACAGATGACAGCATGCAGTCTGTGATAAACTGTATGAAGCAGCATCATTAAAATGTGTGTACAAATGAAATGAGGACAAACTAAACGCTGCTTAAAGTAGCTATAAACTAATCTGTTTTTGTGTTTCTGTGCTTTAGCAGTGAAGACGGACCAGCTTCAGACTATTAAACGGGAGCTGACTCAGATCAAGATGAAGATTGACTCCTTGCTGGGACGCTTGGAGAAGATCGAGAAGCAGCAGAGAGTCGATTCTGGTGAGAAGCAGACAGAAAATCTAGAGCTGGTTGGGAGAGAACGGGAAAAGGACACTGACCACTGAGGGAGGGAAATTAAGAGCACACACAGGCTATAAGTCTTAGTGACACTGTGGGAGATAAGAGCAGTAGAGCTCTCCGTCATAACAGCAGACAGGTGTCAACGCCACGCTGACTCAGTTTATATGAGAGGTCTTTATAGATGCCCTACACTACAGAACAGTCTCAGAGGGCAGCTCCTTGTGAAGGTCATTCATTCGCATTGTGCATGCCTAGTTTTTCACTATGTTTGTGATGGTTTATTTAAACTCTCTACAAGAGAGTCTTTTAACTCCATGATAGTTGAAAACCAAATACATCACACCGCGTCTCGGTTGTCCTCCAGACAAACTGTTGTGTGATTTGTTTGAAGTGAAAATGAAAACTACCAATGAAAAATACAAGGTTTTCTGGTCAGAAGGCAATGGTTGTTTGTATCTAACAACCAACAACCAGTGGCATGCAGAATTATTACCTGTGAAGGCCAACATTTGCTAAAAGGACCAGTTGACAAGGTTGTGTACCATTTACCCAGGTTTTAAATTGTCCCAAATCTTGTTATCTGTATGGGACCTGGGTTTTGAATTTGGTAACTCTACTTACTCAGATGTACAAACTTATAACTTTTTTTTTATTAAGAAAAAAAAATCATGAGCAATTATAATTTTTGAGGCGACTGCATACAGAGTCAGTGGATATATGAGAATTTATCCATGGCTGCACAAATTGACACCAATGAGCAAAACATGTATGAAGCTGAAGAAAAAAACAGAACTGAAGTCTTTAGTGATTTCTGAACAGAAACACTTGGTGTGTGTGTTGCTAACTATCTTACAGCTAACATACAGTTGGTGCATTTGCTGAAACTGTATTTGTACATGTGACACATAATCTGTGAAAAAATCTTGTCCCTGTGGCTCCCTCCAAGTGCTCCTAATGGCATTTGTAAGAATCCACTGCACTTGCACGAAAACAACCAATCAAAGCCAGGAGTCGTCTCTAACATACTGTCAGTCACTGCTCTGCTGCACAGGCTGTGCAAGTCCCCCTTCGCCTCACACTCAGTCAAGCTCATTATCTTCTGTGCGCGGTTTCAAGAGAAGCTTCGCAAACACAGGAAAAAGCCACCAGCAATGAAACAACTGCCTGTCCCTCCTTCGCCTACAACGGCATTTAGTGCAAAACACGTGTGCACATGTTCCAGCTCCACACATAGCTTTGGGCTCATTATGTCAGACGCCATGGCGCTCATATCAACGAGAGGCAAAAAGGCATGATGACAAACCGTGGGGAACAACTTTTGAGGGGGTATAGTGGTGTGTGTCTGTGTGTGTCTGTGTGAGTGTGATGTTAGCTGCTAGGCATGCAGCTTTTGCCCGGCACAAAGCAGCAGCATGTACAATTTATTTTTCTGTGTTATTAGAAGTTGATGTAACTTAATAATAGAACGGCGCTCCCCTCCCGTAGAAGTATCCCCTGTTTCTTGCCTCTTACCGTCAAAGCAGTGTTGCTAAGGCAGTCTAGACCAACCTCTCATCCCGCTGTATACCACGTTAGAGCTGCCGCTGAAGCCTGGGGCGCTCTGCCCTGAGGCTGCAGAGAGCTGGAGGGGTGTCTTTGAGAAGACGAGTCATGGGGAGAGGACCTGGGTCTTGCCAAGGCTCACGTCGTGGAGAGAGTCCGCTGAGGCATGAGGTTTCGCAGGGCAACCGGCGCCTTCTGCTCTGCTGTGGGTTTAATGGAAGAGGCTTAGCAGATTGAGTATAGTATAGTATAGTAGTATATCTTTCAAAATTCTAGCATTTAGTGAAAATTCAAAAGATTGTAGCCTCGCTTAGCACAGAGTGCTAACACCCTCCCTACACAGTTAAAGCAGCACATTAGCAGCTTCAATCCTCCGTCAGTATGTACACTCTTTTAATTCAGTCTTACTTTGGTAAAGTAGAAAGCTAAAAATAGATGCTTCGAGTTGTAGTTATGCTTGTAAAGCTTGAGTGAAATACAAGAATTTGGCAGCTGGTGTAGACAGCTGCATTGGTTATAATGAGAGTGTGTCTGTTGGTGATGATGGATCACTGAAAAGTTAGGAATATGTTTGGAGGTGATGG